GAGAGAGAGAGAGAGAGAGAGAGAGAGAGAGAGAGAGAGAGAGAGAGAGAGAGAGAGGAGCGATAGAAGATTGTTGTGCGGTCCAAGGCGGCCATAGCCGCGGAGCTCGAACACGGAGGAAGAAGAAAAAAGACGAGTGAAGGAGGGAGAGACGAAGGAGGAAAGAGAAGCCATAGCTGAGGAAGAGGAAGGAGGGATGACAAAGGAAGAAGAAGGAGGGACGACAAAGGAAGAAGAAAGACATAGCCGGGGTGAAGAAGGAAAGAGGGAGAAAGAGAAACGAGGGTTGGTGAGAGAGAAAGGGTCGGCCGCCATACCAGAGTCAAACGTTGACCAAGGAGTTGACCGAGGTTGACTTGGGCGTTGACCAAGCTGTTGACCGGCGAGTTGACCAAGAGTTGACCAGTGTTGACCGGAGCTGTTGACCGTGAGATTGACCAAGCTGGAGTTGGTATATTCTCGCCAAGCCTTCAGCCTATTCCCTCGCCCTGTGCACTCACCCCATGGTACTTGCTGAGTCTCTCTGTCTCTTCTTTCTGCATTGAGTCTCTTCTGTCCAGGTGATAGGAACTCCGTGTATGAGGTCGTAGAGCTGCGTTGACCAAACCCACACGGGCTGAGTAGGGCTTAAGTCCGTGTCTGACGACTGACATGTCCCGAAGGACAAACCCTCCCAAGCACCCGTACAAACCGGTGGGCTGAACAGTGTGGCATGGGTGGCCCAAAATCCGAGCTGTGGGCTGCACAACCACCTGTCTAAGTGTTGAGAGGACTCGCTGATCGCGTCGTCCTGTTTGCGACGTTAAACAATTCCAGAGGAGTTATGGGGGATCTCCTTAAATGCCTCCTGATCAGCGCTGAAGTCTTGTAGTGACAGCTTAGAAGTAGGTCTAGGCTAGTGACGATAGACAGGGTTCTGAACCGGAGAGAAAGCCAGGTGGGACTGACCGCAGGTGCTGGGCATTTGGGTCTGGATTGTAAAGGACAGTGGTGGCGAAAGCTTCCGTCGGCCGTGGTAACCTGGCTGGATCAAAGGGTAAGGTTTTGTGGTCCTTAGACAGTCAGTTAGTCAGTTGAGTGGGTAGGTCTAGTGGTGAGGAGTGGGACAATTACTGTCGTGCACCTAACACCATGGACGATTACCCTATGTACGGCTTGCTCGTGGGGTTCTCCCTTTGGGGGACCCTTTGGTGTTTCCTCTTTCCATTGGGGGTTTGGAACACCTTTACGTGTAGAGTAGAGACCAGGGTGGTGTTAGTACTACTCCCTACACCAAGGCGCAGGAGGAGGAAGTTGCAAGAATCTTGGCCGAACAGAAGGCCAGAAAGGAGAAGGAGGAGGTAGTGAAGCAGGCAAAGAAGTTCGCCTTGTTGCAGGAGCAAGCCGCAAAGAAGAAGAAGTTGGAGGAAGAGTTGGAAAGGCTGAAGGAGGAGGAAGAAAAATTGAAAGCGGTGGAGGCGGAAGAAGAAGAAGAAGAGAAAAAGGCAGAAGAGGAAGCTCACCTGTTCAGAAAGAGTTTCAGGGACAGAGGGGAATCCAATGGCACGAAGAAGGAGGAGGACCCATGGTTGGAAAAGAAGGTGTCTGAGTGGGTCGCTAATCTATCCCTGGGAGAGGACAAGGAGGCAATGATGTATGTGCCAAGGGCGGAACAAGAGGCGGTAGTGAAAGAGTGGGAAGCCGAAGAGGAGAATGGAGGAGGCAAGTAAAGTTGTGAAAGATTTGGAGGCTATATAAGAGCAAAAGACGCAGATGGAGGCACAAGCAGATATACAGGGGAAGATGGAGGTGATGTCGAGGAATATCGAGCTCTTGGCCAAAGCGTGGGACGGACAATATCAGTTCCCTAGGAGCCAGGATGTAGCCTTGCGATCAATACGATTGGGATTCAGAGAGTTCGCGCGTGAAATGATGATGCACGTGGGCACGAAAGTAAAGGCGAGGCTAGAGAGCACAGAGTGATTCTGCACGGGCGCCATAGAGGGCGCAAAGCTTGCAGCTCCAAGGGGGGAGGAAGCTCGTCCCCGTAGGGATCCCGTCAAAGTTAACTTCCCCAATTCCTACAGTGGGAAGAAGGGAGAGAACTTTGACAACTAGGAGGCAAACATTAACTCTTATGTTCACCTCTAGAAGATCATACCTGAGGAGCAAGTCCTCATCGCCTTCCATGCTCTCAAAGACGAAGCAGCAAGCTTCGCCAGATCGCTTGCCCGCGCTGCTAAATGTGATAACGATATGGTAGCGTACTCCACGATCACCCCCCTGAACGAATTCTTTAAGCTGCTGCGCGAGAGATTTGCTAATGTCACTAGGGGGATTAGAGCCTCTGGCAAGCTCCAGACTATCCACTCACACCAGTGGAAGAGTGTCAGGGCACTCAAGGGAGTAATGGATAAGTTGGTAGCTGTCCCTGACCATGGGGTCACTGAGGTCCAACTGGTCAACCTATTCTATCGTGCCATGCCCGAGCCTTTGCGCGGGCATTCTTTGAGAAGAGCCAGAAATCTACCATGACCTACGATACTTTGAGTAGGGAAGTGGTAGCGTTTGAAGTGCGGTCCATGACAGTTTCCACTTCCTGGCATAAGGACCTCGATAAGGACAAAAAGTGGAAAGGCCGTACCATCTCGGGTCAGGTCAAGGGCAAGCATCACCTGATTCTTACGTTTGATGACGGTGGTATGGGACAGGTCCCCTATGATAAGATAGAGTGGGGCCTAGAGGAAGAGGATAGTGGCGATAGTCAAGGGAGGACTTACGCTACTGTCGCGGCTAGAAGGAGGCCGCAAAGAAGAGGAGGAGGCCGGGGCCGAAAGTGGTCGAGGACAGGGCGATCAGGGGGTTGGTGGTAGAGGAGGCCGCCAAGCGGGAGGTTGGGGACAAGGTCCCCCACAAAACCGCTCTAGTTTCAATCGATTACGTAGGAGGGGTGGATGGCCTTGGGAAGATTTGGGCTTGGAACAAACAGTATGGCAGAGGCGTATAGACCAGGATCAGTGCATCTATTGCGGTGATCCTGGCCACATCATAAAATACTGCCCCAAATATAGAGAAACCCGGTTTGCTGCACATGCAACAAAAGGCAACCGCCGGTAGGGGTTGCAACTGCCCCTATCCCTAGACCATGTGGAGAAGAGTGCGCGCACCACATAGGAACTCCCAAACCACATGTGTCTATGGCAGAGGTTGTTGGCCAGTGCCTAGACAACTGTCCAGGAACTGCTTGTGTTCGAGTCTCTCTAGGCACTTCCCTCACAGGCGTGGCAGAAGAGTTGAAGGAGAGGATGCCTGCCTCGGCCAAGATGAAGGAGGCGAAAGGACAACCAATTTTAGTAGATGTAGAGGTTTTTAGAAGTAGGGTCAGGGCCCTTATAGATAGTGAGGCCACACACAACTATATTAGCAAGGGAGCGCTGCAGAAGCTGAAGTTAAATCTAAAAGTCCTGAAGTTAGAAGACCCTATAGTCAGTATCCTCGCAGATAATCGCACTATGCGAGTTGAGGATTACGTAGAGGGAGTCCAGGCGTATTTTCGCCTAGAGAAGGATGGGAAGGTGGA